ATTCATCATTTCTTTTAACGTACGGTTCTTGCGTTCAGCAACACCGTTTGACTGTGGAGAATAAGGGGCCGTCGTTTGATGAATTATGCCATATTCAGAACATATTTGTTCAAAAGGAGACACATACTCCCCACCCCTATCACTTCAGATTATTTTAATCCTTTTGTCGAGTTGATTTTCAACTTCGGTCTTATATATCTTAAATGCTTCCACAGACTCATCTTTGCTTCTTAACAAATATAAGTAGCTAATCCTTGTGCAATCATCGATAAAAGTTACAAAATACGTTTTACCGGTTCTTGTTTGCACACTTTTCATATCACAAATATCAGTATGGATCAAGCCTAATGGTTCAGTACTCCTTTCCACCGAGTGGAAAGGTAACTTCGCCATTTTTGCTTCAATACAAATTTCACATTTTGTATTTGTCTCAACTTTTGAATTAGGAATTAATTCTAATTTCATCAACCGTTTAATTGCATTTAGATTTACATGTCCCAATCTAATATGCCATAAAATCAGAGCACTCGACGGTATAAATAGAAATAGGCTTTTTATTATCAACGGTTACACGGCTTACAGCCATTACATTCATTTTGAACAATCCCTTGTCGATATAACCACGACCAAGGAATTTTCTATATTTGCTAAGAATAAACTTCTTAGCTTCAAACACCAGCCTAAATCCATGCTCAACAAGAAGTGATCCCGAGACTAAATTCTTGTGGATGTCTGGGACATGCAGAACATCCTTCAGCTTCAACTCCCTTCCAGAAGTGAGCTTCAGCACCACCGTGCCCACTCCAGCCACATCAGACGTGGAGGAGTTTCCCATGTGAAGTTTCCGACCCGCAGCAGGAGTGTATTCAGAGAACACCTCCTTGTCGGAACACACATGACGAGTGGCACCAGTATCAATGTACCACTCCCTTGGGTTATCCACCAAATTGGCTTCAAACACCACAGCCGACATATCAAAGTCGGTCAATTCACCCGTCACAGGGCCGTGTTCAGCAACAAGGGCACTCGGTTGCCCTTTATTTGGCCCAGCTTTCATTGGCCTCTTGCAGTCTTTAGCCATATGGTTTGGTTTTCCACAATTGTAACAAGTTCCGGTAAACTTCCAAACCTTGGCTGGCTGCTTTCCCTTATTCTGGGTCTTCCTCTTGCCCGAGTTGCTTTGCTCCAGCAAGTTGGCACGAGCTTCCATCATCGGGACTTTTCCTGATGACTTCTGGTTGTCTTCCTCGATACGAAGACGAACTATCAGATCTTCAAGACTCATCTCCTTTCTCTTGTGCCTGAGATAGTTCTAGAAGTCCTTCCAGCCTGGCGGTAGCTTCTCGATCACAGCCGCTACTTGGAATGACTCGCTCAAAGTCATCCCTTCAGAATGGATATCGTGCAAGATCAGCTGGAACTCTTGCACTTGTGACACGACAGTCTTCGTGTCAACCATCTTGAAGTCAAGAAATTTGTTGACGACGAATTTCTTCGCCCCGGCATCCTCGGTCTTGTACTTCTTCTCCAGGGCAGACCAAAGCTCCTTGGCAGAACCAACAGAGCTGTACACATTGTACAACTCGTTACTAAGCCCGTTCAGGACATAGTTACGGCAAAGGTAGTCACCTTGTCCCCAAGCATCGTACGCAGCGCGTAGTTCTGCATTGGTCTCATTCTCAGAAATGACCGAAGGGTCGTCCTTCAGGTATTTCACCAAACCCAAAGTGGTCTGGTAAAAATGCATCGTTTGTTGCCACCTCTTAAAGTCAAGCCCGTTGAATTTTTTGGGCTTTTCAGCTGTAGGAACATGGACAGCAGGTACATGATTGATCGGATGTTGAGAGCTGGAACCTGCTCCGGTGGATGTCATCAGTTCAGTAGGATGACTGAAATATTCTTCTTGCGAATTGTTGGATATTTGGTGTAAAGTTACACGGAAATCCTACGAACTGATATGTAATTTCAGTTCTTACAAATAATCTAAAAATAGAAAATTACAATTGAACTGAAAAATAAATTACAACTGAAAAAGGGAAAGATTTTAGCCGAGGCGAGTAAAACTTTTTCCGCAAGAAGAATACGCCCCGTGTGTCAGCTAACGGTTCAGGCATAACTTCTCCAAAGATACAACGACAAACGTCTCTAAATCTGTAGCACACCAGATTTACGAGCTCCGGCGAACAGGGAACGGAGTCGAGAATTGAGCACTTAAAAATAAAAGGAATATCAAAACAAATAAAAATATCATTTGTTTATTCTCTTTTGATATTTTTATGTCCGATATTTGAACATATATCTATCGTTTCTTTCCTTTCTCTTTTCCTTTCTTTCCTCTCTTTTCTCTTCTTTTTTTTGTGTATAATTCTCTTATGAAGAAGCATTCTATTTATAACAGAGAAGTTGAACATTTTGCCTAACGAATTGTAATAAAATATATATATATATATATATTTTAAAAAAAATCATAACACATGGGTCGGCAGCATGTGAGCGCCGCAAGTTGTAATTTTTTTTATTATTTATTTATTTTTTTTCTAACAGGGAGGCCTTGTTTCCTGTACGAATAAGGGGAGACGCCATGAAGCATGTTTCTACAGTCGACAAAGGCGGCATCGCGAATCGACATTGGATTCTGACGAGAAGAAGAAATCCTACTAGAGTAGGTCGTCCGGAAGATGAAGGAGAAGGAGGGCTCGTGGCTCAAAATGATCCAGACGGCTTCAGACTGTGCTGGGGAATCTTGCTGGTAAGTCTTTGAGTTTATTAATGTTTTTATCTTATGTTTCGAAATTCTCCTTTCTATGTCATATTATTGGATTTGATTATTATTCTTTGTATGTTTTCAAAATTGTTTTTCTTTCATTGTGATTCGTTGCTATTTATGTTTGTTGTTGAAATTGATCTATATTTTGTTGCATCTGAGTTTCTTTTTAAGATACAATTTTGTATGTTTTCAAAATTGAATTTTCTTGCATAGTGATTGATTTGTATTTATGTTTGTTGCTGAAATTGATCAATATTTTGCTGCTTCTGAGTTTCCTTTTAGGAAACAATTATATTGCATTTGCAGTATGTGTTTAGCATGTGTTGCGCTGAGTACTAACTTGGGACTTATTAAGATTTAAATTGTTTTATAGACTTATTTGTTTTTCCTCAGAGTGATAATGAATGAGTTTGTGTAGGTTGTGGATAGATTTGTCCCAAAAAGCCCGAGAATTCAAGAGGGGAAAAAGGACAAACTCTTGGTTTTTCTTTGGTACAACTGTCGGCGTTCGAAGAGTTGTTCGTGGTGGAGCTCTTCACCGATGACGTGCCAAAGACTGCCGAGAACTTTTGTATTAGAGAAGATTTTGCCATCGAAAAAGGCATCAACAGCGAGTACATCAATTGTGCCAGTGCGTCCTGACCATGGCCGACGCAGGCCCGAGGAATAGTGGCTCATTGTTCTTCATTCTTAATTGCAAGATGGAGCGGCTCAACTGAAAGACCTGCTGTTCGACTAAGTGGTCCTGGCCTGGACTTTGTTAATGTAATTAAGATGGCCGGATACGGATTCAGCAGAACCCCAAAGCTGCTGATGTAAGCATGATAGTTATTTTTTAATTTAAATTTTATTGCATTTTTAAGTTTTAGTGTTTTGCTTTGTGTATCAATTTTGATTTTAGAGTTTAGTTCCTTTTAGTAAAAAAATTATTTTCAAAACCTTTACAGTTCAAAATCAAGCGTCAAGCAATTTCAACTAATCAGTTGGAGTATGATTTGGTTGGATTGTTCTTGAATTGCAATTTGACTTTGCAATACATAGTTACGACTAATTAACTAGAGTAGGATTTGGTTGCGTTTGCGTGTAGGAGAACACGGAGAAACGTGTTCGTCGAGGACGTTTCGAGCAGTGCGAGGATCGCCACGATTAAGGTGGTTAGGGAGAGTGAGGAAATATGGCAGTTTGCCATTGTTAGATGAAAAAAGTGACACTGCTACATCTTTTCACTTTCTAATGATCAACTGTTCTTTTAAAGACAACAATAAGAGAAATCTCATTGTTGTCTTTGTATTTGTAATTTTGTGCACTTATTTGTATTAATGCTTTGCTGGGCACCAAAATAATCCACAGCCTTGCCTATAAGGAATACAACTAGCAGCAGTATATATTACGTTTTAGCACTATGGTGCGATTTACATTTAAATGTCTGCAATGCCCTTTTTGTTGATTATACTATATATGTTTCATCTTTTGATAACATTGTAGATTAATTATGTTTGAGATTTATTGTTGGTACAATTTATATTGTTTGTTTTGTCATTTAGCTATTTGCTTTGGAAAATCCCAAATTAAACTTGATAATGTGTACTTTATTTTAACACTTGTGTTTTGTGTTCGAAACATATGTTTGTTCTGCTCGAATTATGATATTAAAAAAAAAAAAAATATGTTTCTCTATTGCATTTCTTCACTCTTTTTATTTTCAAACCTTCTAACTACCAGAATCTCCTCTCCTATGAAATTCTCGACTACAATGGCTAATGTAACATAGGCAAGATTGGCTCAGGTGTGATTTCTGTTTTTATTTCACTTATGTTTACTTCATAATATTTAATGAAATGTAAATAATCTTCTAGCTTGAAAATAAAAGTTAAAACGTGGGCCGGCCGTGCTATGCACGGCGATAGCCGGCTAGTATTTATATATATATATATATATATATAAGAAAAAGGAAACAATAAATGAGTTTGTACATTACTTAGAATTGGAATGGAATAAGCAGACGCTGGGAGAATTTAAAACAAGTTGTTCCCGTGTACAACAACAGCCTCCCCTGTCAATTAACCAAGTAAACTCATGGGTTTCATGTCATGTATCAGCACAGGGATTCTTTTTTCTTGTTCTTTTTCTGCTAAAACAATTAGTTAATGTTGGGAATTTGCATGTTAATTTCCACCCTAAAAAATAAAAGACACGCTTAAATAATGGTGTGATGAAGTGTTCCCTCTGTATCTCATTCTCCCGGGTCAATATCCTGGCTTTGGACTTGCTCGAGAATTATATTGCAATTGTTCATGGTGCGAGCATCAAGAAGGCCATGGTTCCACAGTTTAATCATAAATAATCTCCAACACCTGTCCATCCCCATAATGATATAAGCAAATAGAATACTATTTGCAATTACTGACCAACATGAATAACATATCCTCAATAATAATAATAATCGTAACGCACTGCATTCATGTGTAACCTTCATAGGTAATTCTGAATAACTGAATAAGAATCCAAAAGAAGTGATTTGTTGAAGATAGATGGTTTTAGAAGAGCCACAAATAAAACTAATAATCCAGATGGATGATTGGACACTACGGGTATGTTTGGTAGAACTAGCTGATAAGCTAGCTTATAGCTTATTCGTAATTTTTGAACTTATATCTTATAGCTTATGACTTACACTTACAGCAGAAAAGTATAATAGCTTAGCTTATATGATAAAAGTGTTTGATAAAATTAGTTGATAAGCTAGCTGAAATAAAAATTTCAATGGGCTTATTTGAAAAGCCACCCAAAGAAACTTATGAGATAAGCTCGAGCTTTTTCAAAAAGTTTGTCCTACCAAATGAAGCTTATAAGCTAATCAAATAAGTTATACACTTGCTTATTTGTCTACCAAACATAGCCTAAAGAATATAATCAACAGGATACATACACTTAAGTTGTGAGATGCTTTTGCAGCAACGCATGGGAAATTCTCTGGAAACTTTTACTATGGTAGAAACTAAAAAGGGATTTGAAAATTTGAGAAAAAGGTTATACTTTTAAGAAAACAAAATTGACAGCCACTATATATAGCAGTGCCAGTTATCAGAAATCGCAAAAGTTACCATTGTAAAGCAGGTGTTCGGACAAGATTTTGACCATGCAATTTGGAGAACGCCTCACAGGCCCAAGGAATATGACCATCTGCAAGGACTCTGCGGTTGTGACAGACGAGCGCTTAAACGAAATACACAGAGAGAAAAACAAAAACGGCAAAACAAATATATAAACTAAGGTCCTACCCATGTCAACATTCCTATTTCATCTGATGGTATAACTGGGACCTTAATTGGGCTATAAACCTCGTCTAGATGAATACAATACCTTAACTGAGACCTCAAAATCAGTGTCTTATGAAACAACTATAATACTCGACAAATCAGGAATGGGAAAAGCAAAAAGAAGAAAAAAAAGTCTCTCACCTTTGCTTCCTGACAAAAGAATTCCAGAGATGCATCAACTGCTTCTCGTCCTTTGTAACATCCACAAAGTCATCGAGCATCTGTTCAACAACATTCCTTTTAATTGCACATGGAAATAGTAATTATCTCCTAAAACAGAGCAGCATATTCCAGTCCATAACAGTGTTAACAAATGGCAGTCATGGGGGTATGCCGTGGTGGATTTCTGCCAAACCGCCATGCTAAATTTGTGAAGGATTAATAACACTGGTCCATAAGATGATTGATTTGAAATTTTTTCATACAAACAAGTGAATAGATTGAAATTTGTAATTGCCTGTACCCATATATCAATGTTATGTAATGTACCATGCTCACAATTCCAATGCAAAACAAAACCTCTAATGGAGGCAGGTCATATGCCCATTATAGAAGAACTACAAGGATTGGGAACCAGCAGATTTCAGATGAGAAGAACATACCCTTCGATCTTCAAGATCTGCAACATCATCATCAACTTCATCCTCACTGTCACGATCAGACAGGACTTGCTCCCAGGCCATTGGCTGCATTGATTACAGGAATTATTAGTAGACTAATATAGATGCACATTATCTCAAGACAACATGGATAAACTTGAGAAACAGGCATAACCAAAACCAAAAGAGAGATAGAGAGAAAGAGAGAGAGAGAGAGAGAGAGAGAGAGAGAGAGAGAGAGAGAGAGAACGAGACAGCATGTATATACTATCATTTGGTTGACAAGATAATGACTGCTCAAAAATTTTGCAGGTCTGCTAGCACACAAGTACAGAATCAGGGCACATGACGTATTTGTACTTAAATTCGAAGCTACAATATATACCATGAAAGCCAATTCCCATCCTAATTGAGATATATTAAAAACAAAAGGCAAACAAATTGAATTTTTTTTAGTCATCCAGAAGACCACCGTAGGGTTGAATTTTTCAGTTCTTGACCAAATTGAATTGCACCTCATTGCATCGGTTTGCAGAAACTGAAGAAGTATGAATATTTTTATGTACAAAGGTTGACACATGATGCGGAAAATATATGTACTGATGATAGCTTACTTGAGCTCTATGAGAGTGAAAGAACTGCCGCCTCTGCAAGAGTGCACGACTGGAACCAAAACAAGAAAAAGAAAAGTTACTGCAATAAACTTCAACATCAATTAAGAACAATTATTATAAATGGTCAGCTCGTCTATCACGAGAATAGAATATAAGTTATAGATGATCAGGAAGCTTAGATGCGGGGACATTATATTTTGTTGCAGTTAGCTCAAACCAAATCCAAATAGAGAATGATAAAAGGGATACCTAAGACCTTAGGAGTCTTCACTATGTCACCGAACAAATATAGTAAGTCAGCGAGGATGAACTTATAATTTGTATTAGTAATATGTTTATAAGATTCCAGTAAGAAGGTACTGAGTTCAAGTGAAGCAGTAACAACAAAATGTCATACAGAAAAATGGCTCCAAAAAGTCAACCGAATGCTCACTAGGATAATACTTGTCACATGTCTGTTCTTCGTTGCTCATTCAGGACACATTAGGTCATTCTAAATATATGTCTAAAGAACTACCTCCACTTCCAAAAGAAGATATGCTAGATCCTACAAGAAACTTGGTAGCAAAACATAATGGAGATCAGGAAGCAAGTCTTGTTATAATTTGCAATTGTCTCCAGGAAGCTAGTCTGTTACAATTTGCAATTGTATTAAAAAATCTTCTAGTTGAAATCAAGCAAGTGCACTTACTTTCTGGGTTCAGACCGTTCAATTGATAATTTCCTTGTCTTTGCAAATTGTAGTAAAGCGGGAGGTGCAAGGTTGGTTCCAGGTAATGTCTGAGTACACTCAGGTTCAGCATATGAATGAGTTGTGGCTGATGAAATTCTAGGACTGGATGCATCACGGTCCCCACTCTCTGCAATACCTGCAAAAAAGTTAGCAACATTTTTCCTTTCAAATCCATATGTATGGACCAATATATCTGCAGATACAATCATTATAAATATCCATGTACACATGTGTAGGTTGTATTTATGATCTATAACAGAACACAATTTAATGGGCCATTAAGAACTTTGAAAGGTAAGTGGGAGACAGATTCTCATGAACAGCAATTCTGACTTCAAGGAATCCACATGAGTAGATATAAACCTGATCAATTGACACAATTTCTCACATAGAAACTAGTTATGTGAACTCCAGGTTTAACATGTTCTCTTTTATTGGATGTCTGCAAAATCCCATGGTGAACCGAAACGTAACAACACATTTCTTTGAAAAATAAAATTGAAAACAGAATCTGACTTGTCAGTTCAATTTGCAACATAACAATTTTTGGCTGTGATTTGGCTCCAAGCAATTACTAAACTGTGAACATACTTAGGCTCAGGAAAGCCGGGGCCTTGTCATTCATTGTGAAAGTTCCGAAAAAAAGGGCAAGAGTTTTCCACATCAGCATGATAACAAAGCAGTTGTCTCCGATCATATCTAGGACTCAGAGACATTTAGTACCGTCATTCATATAGTTTAATTTATAGTCTCATGACAACATGACTGAATACACGGAAAGTACAAATAGCAGCAAAAGATATCAAGATTTCTTTAAGTTAGATATCAAGATTTCTTTAAGTTACCATCAGTCATGTCTCGAGGCTCATTGATTGATCCCGGAATCACTGACTCTAAGACAAGAGGGTGCACATGCCTTGAACTTTGCATTAAGCTCTTCCTTTTCCTACGTCGTGCAGCCTTTGAACTGTGTTGACCAAGATGAACTCATAGCATTTATTTAAGAAAAGAGATTTACACAAGCAATCATCAAAACATTTATACATCCATGACCTACCAAAAGAGAAAAGTTTGTTGCTTAGGATCAACACCTGCAGCAACAATCTACAAAAATAATATTGAAAAAGTCAAATACAATTAAGATAAATGCAATAAGAACACCATCTTCGGCAAATATTGATTTCTCTAGCTGAATACCTACTTCAAAATCAGTTTCAGTAAAAACAATGTTATTTTCAATTCACCAAGCTATATTACATTATTACACTGCACTTCAATTTCGTTATTGATACAGAGATTTTCATCAGTGTAATTTGGAAGTTCTTTCAATTGGCTGACACAGAAGTTAGTTATTGTCCACCACTACATGACACAACTACAATGACTAGGTGCATTAACAGGACATATCATAACCACGGAAAATAACTGGCATCCATACCTCAGATCTCCATGTATCTGTCTTAACTGATACATTCACTGCTTGAAATTCCTCTGTTACCTACATGTTTTCATAGAAAAAAAAGAATAGAAACTCAAACACAAATGAAATTAAATTCTTTTAAAACTAATCGAGTTTACTAACCCAAAATTCAAAGTTGAAGAGGTCGTGAGAGGAGGGCAAATGATATCTCAGCCCCTGTTAAAGTATTGATACATTAGTTGAAAATCTGCAGAACTTTTAGCAATAAGACATGAGAACATCAAGTTGGGTAGTACCTTCAAGCTTGCACATTTAACCAAACAGAAAGGGCATGTAAAGTCCTCCGTTACTGTATATGTATATAATAAGTCAGGTTTCTTCCAGAATTTAGCAGCAACATTTAGCGATGGAAACACAAAGGACACATGAAGAACTATTCACCATAACAGGCAATCAGCAGTTTACTTGATTCTTATTATCTCATACCCTCCATTTAGGGATGCAATTCTGCCCCGCGGGTAACTACCCCCCGCAGAGAACAGTTACAGGAGAAAAGATTATGCAGGTTCCTATATATCCTCTAATTTATCTCTAGCAGAAACTACACAAAAGTACAACTTCTTTGAAGTCTTTGCCTTTAGATTCTACGATTACTCAGGCGAGGAAATGTTGAAGTTCACCTACTTGCTATCATACTCGACATGAAAGACCAAATTCAACAAGCGAACAAGCAAGAAAAGAGTAGATAACTAAGACCGGCATTTATCCCTATCAAAGCCACAACTTAATGATGATAAAAGTTGGCATTCAGAAGCTTATCTTGTGGCATATGCATAAGATTTGTTGAAGACCACGAAAAAAAATCAAGTGCGCTCCAACAAAACCATATGCTTAGGCACTTAGCTCTATAATTTGTGAATGAATAGCCAGACCAGCACAGATCACAAATGGCACAAGGTGAACTAACAAGCTACAATTCATGATTCAAAGCACGTCTCCAGAAAGGCTAATCAAATTACCTTCGGTCCTCTGCAACTTGTTATTATAGTATTTGTAGTTGAAAACTACATTTCCAGTCCTCAACCTAGCCAACAACCATGAAGTTAATGAATGTACACACATGTGCCCATATTCTACACTGAGGTGGGAGATGAATGAAGGCTATAAGTCACCTAATAATCTGTGGCAAAGTGGAGGAAGGAATGCCTCTGTATGAAAATGAATCATAAGGAGATCTCTCCTTGGTTCCAACTTCTTCTGCCGCAACACGGACTTGAAGTTGTTGAGACATAGGCTTGAGTAAAGCAAACAGAAAATATGTTAAGAATAAGAAATGCAATTTTAATGGCTGAACATCACCTAAAATCTAACTAAAGCTCTTCCGTAAAAACAGACTTCAAATTTATTTTTTCTTTTCTCATATAAATTTGACATTGAAGAGAGAGGGGATGTACCATAGTTCTGTCACGAGGACTACGAAATGAGAAGCATTTGTCATCTCCAAAGCAGTTTGTCTGCAAATAAAAAACTAATTAAGAAACATTTTTTTCTATTATAAAAAAAAAAATCGATCAGAAGAAAAGGAAGTTGGCTGGATTTTTTCCAGAGCTGCTCGGGAGGAACGGGCATAATAACTAAATGAATCATGCAATAGCCTATGTTTTCATTTGGAAGATAGTGAGAGATTTTCCTAAGGGTTTGCATGGGATTCCAGGCTATCATAAAGAAGAAGGTCATGAAACAAGTAATATTCTGGGGAGTCAACGAAATCATTACAGTAGGATAATTGCAAAGAGGTCTGCATGGAATTTGGATGATAAGAACACAATGCCATATTTTTTAGCACTACCAACAAGCTCAAAATGTCTTCCAGAAAGCTCTGGGAGAAACATCAGCTCAATCTGAATACTTGGGCACACAAGTCATGAAAAAATGCCTCCTCTTGATTATACCAAGAAATTTGAATATGAATCAGTTGAACACTGCAATCACTTTACAAGGAGGAAAAAAAGACAGAGAAACTAAAGAAAAGATACTTAGAACACAAAGCAACACTAACAATGAAACACATAATCGAGAGTTATTCAATTGCAACCTTCAAGGAGCATGAATGCAAGTCAACAGTAGACAGCATCTCAGCTCTCTGCCCACCACTCAAGTTCAGAGATTTGTCCCATGATAAATGAAGTAGCTCCATTGGAATTTTACCGAGGAAGCAAGGACCCTCAACATTTGCTATGAATAAAACAAATACAACACAAATATTAGCTCCATGGGAACAATGAAGAGAGAACATAAAAGAAGACAAATCATTAAATGCAGGAACCTGGAGCCCCTCTTTCATAAAGCTCTTAATATAGTGAAAACAAATACAACCTGTGCATGTGTACAGTGAATCATCTTTTTCCTTATTTTATTGTCCCTGATATGGGAGGTTTCAACATGCAAGAATCTTGAAGTGGAAAGTGCAAGCACATCAAACATGACTACATAAAAAAGCCATAAACGCGGCACCTAGTGAAAACCCAACACTGGAAACATACATCCTATAACTTTGGTAACTTCAGTGAAGTCATCGAACAATGAATCAACAAAGCTAATGATGTACTTTCTTCTCAAGTTTGATTAAATCTTATGTTCCATTCAACTGAATACGATCCCTATCAGTCGGAAGAAATTACATAAAAAGACAAGTCAACCATGTAATATAAATAAGTTTTAATGGAGTTACATATTCCTCAATTCTTTGATAACCACAAATGTATTAATCAAGATTTCATTCAAGTCAACCCAGCTCAGGTTGTGATTGGATATGAAATATTTCACATTTTCTCCTAAAGAAATTTTTTAAAAGGCACAATATTCACTCATATCATTTTATTCTCCTTGGTTTGATCTATCCAATTTTGAAACACACCTCAACCGTTATTACACATTTTCCCTAAAAAATATACTAGTCATCCACTCACATATTTCAAACTACAACTTATTTTACGATTTTTACATCACAGCAATAATCGTTACATTATAGTCTTACATCTAATCCCAGTTTCCAAACACTTTTATCTGGTGGAAAAAAAAAATCAATGAAAGCGTATCCAATAACAGCCTCAACTTCTGGAACCTGGGCAACCAACTCCACAGAGCTTAAGATGCTTCATTCAAGTATACCTTGATCGTGTACAATTCTCACCTGCTGACTGCTGTTTGAGAGAGAAACCCATACAGCCAATTTCAAGCAAACCACCACCGACTAGAACTAAAAGCATGCTACAGAAAAGTGGCTATTCAACTTAACTCTCTCAATGAAATGGGGAACTCCAAATCTTAGGGTCTACAGCAGAAATAAATTCAGAACCTAGCTGTCTCCCTTTGGAGTGAGGAGCAAATATAATATGCAAAAAGACACCCAAAAAAGGCAATAAATTCCAACTATTGGCCAATGCACCTGAAAATAATGACCCCTCTGCATGCTCCTTAAATAGTTCGGCTGCAAAAATAGCAGTAAAGCATGAAAAAGTTGCCGAACATAACAAATCTTATTTGATATAAAAATAAATACGGAAAAACAGCATACCACAACTGACAAACAATATAGAGAGAGAACCAGATTTAACTTCTGCTGACAGTTTGTTAAACTCAGGAAGAATAAAATTAGCTTGATCTTGGCTCATCCGACCATCTCCCACACATTTAGTTAATATACATGCTCGACTGAAATGATAAGCTGCAGAATCCTGCATAAAGATGTAGTCAGAGTGAAAGAGAACGAGTAAGAGAAAAAAGTGCAAATATACAAGTAAAGTAACAGAATTCATGCAGTACCTCTACAACTGCAGGACTATAAACTGGTCTTGCTAACAGGACACATAAAGGGAATATACTTTGAATTCGAGATTCGTCATTTACAGTTGATGGAAGAGATATTGTCATGTGAATCCTAGGGCAGAGGAGAAGCAGAGTTAACAACATCAATCATGTATGTCAATGAGAAGTATACATCACAAAATTAAATACTAAGCACACACATCCATTGCACAAAATGTAGACTGTCAGCACAAAAAGTAAATAGATAGAGAACATCTCAGCTGCATCTTCTAGCAAAGATATATAGATGACTCTATAGTAATAGAAGAATTTCACTTCTGAATCTGCACATTTAGGAACCGGGAAAATATTAAAAAAAAAATTATATTCTTGCATTGTCCAAATTAAAGGAACTAGTATTTCTAGTCAACAATATTATATAATAGCTGTATTTTATAAAATTAGACTTTAACATTTGAGGAAAATTAGAAAATCAGAGTCGATAATATGCAAATAAGCACAAAATTATTTTGGACACCACTGAACAATAAAACATTAACAATCAAATAGAAGCTAAACAAGATAAACGAAAACTCTAACCCATATTTCTTTACACCCAAGCCTGAGAAGAAGTCAGCAATTTAGGCACAACTAAAGATAATAATGACAAGGTTCAAAATACTGCATACCTTCTCTTGTTTTTTGCATGTATTTTGTATCGCAAACATCTCTGAAGGAAGGATGGCTGCAGAAGAACCTTAACTTTTGTTAAAATGAAAAAGAAAAATTACTATGACAAAAAGCTTGACAATATATACAGCCAACGCTGGTTCTAATCAATAGAACAACAACTATCCCAACACAAACAATCACCAAAATCCAGCAAGCATATATGTACAAGTAGTTCGAGTAAGTATACAGTTGGTGCTCTAGAAATTATTTTTAACAGTTGGGACTTGGGAGTCGAGGGGCGGAGAGGAGATAGTAAGAACCAAATAAACCAACAAGATCAAGGGTCGGAAGTTAGAACCCTGGTTGATGCCCTCTTAGCTGCATTCTCGTGGTAATTGATCCTCAAGAAATGGCACCAGATGTTTTAACCATGTAGCATAAATATTAAAATAAATATCACATAAACTAGACTTGGGAACCGCTAGGTAGCCCAGTTGTAAGGCATGTGTGTCTGTGGTTGGATTCAATTCCGACCGCCCTACCCTCCAGGATTAGTACTCAAAAGGATAGAGAACAAATATAATAAAAATACAAATAAACAAACAAGAACAAGTTGTAAATAAGGCAGTGAAAAGGAAGAGAGTTACGTTTCTAACAGCTCGGCGCTGAAGAATATTGTATAATTCAACTGGCTTGCAATAAATTGAAAGGCTCTCCTCAGCTGCAATTTGCTCTTCCGGAGACAAATGTGCACGGGGATCTTGGCGACACATATGATCTGCCCCTCTAGAGTAACTGCAATTGCAAACACAATTCCTGTTCCAGAAATTAGATAACAATGGTCATCTAAGTTGTGCTCTCTAGAATCAATAACGTGAATCTATATGGTAACAACCACTTCCAATTTTGGAGAAAGTTGCACAGAAGTATAAAAACATTATTCCATAATTAAAAAAATTGAGCTGCACCCTTGCCATTTGCAGTCCTCCCTTACAAAGACAAGATTCATTGAAACGGGCCAACAGAATGAACTTCAAGATTTCTTTGAAACTCATTTTAATGGCTTTGGAGCATAACATTCTATGAGACTGACATACCAACCGTTGTTACAAAAAAGGTCACATGAAATGAAGTGAACATTATTAATTTAACGAAAAAGGCTATAGTCATTTAATGCCTACTAAGCTCCATATTTTGTGATCGCAGCTCGTTAGCCAAGAAAATACTTACGCAGTTTCACGAGCCACGAGAGGTATGCCTGGCATCCTTATTAAACAGAATGGATGCACTTATACATAGCTCTAACCAGCGCTGCCGTTGAAAGACTGAGTGTTAGAAGACCGAAAAAACAGCCAAAGAGAACGAAATCGGAAAAAGAACTCAACCAAATGCATATACAATTCAAATTTTGACATACTTATTAACCCTAAACACACCATTTAACCAATCGGTCCACAATCTGTAGCTGAAATAATATCAAACAACTAAAAAAGGTAACATCGAGAGTCTGGCAAGATTGATTATCAAAAGCCCTTACTGGGTAATAGTTCCAGGAATAAAACGACAAAATCAAAAGGCAAACAAAATATATTCCTCGACCAAACCTGAATCTTCGGATTTCCTCGACCTAAGATTTTGATTTTGTTTATCCAGGCATACCCATGTACGTATCTAACGAAAATGATGGAGAGAAGGAGAGGGATAGAACATACCGAGTTGACTCGTTTCAGCGGAGCGAACAGTTTATGACCGGGACGGTGGTGTCGTTTGTCCGTACTGAATTTTGATTTACAATTTTTTTCAGATATCGAAGAGAAAATTTTCGTTTTAGTACTCCCAACTTTAGATTTTTTAATTTAAATAAAAATTAAAAAAATTGACTGGACAAAAATTAAAAAAAAAAAAAAGAAGAAGAAGAAGCGGACCAAAATAAAAGAGTTGGATTTTAATAATACGTTTTTCAAAAAAAAAAACCGTATTCTGGATATCCGTTTTTTATTGTAAACCGTATTTCGGGAATCTGTCTTTGGGTAATATAATTATAAATCGTAATTAAATTGTAATTACGTTAATTAATCATATTTAAAATGGACAAAAACGTATAACAAGAATACGTTATTGTGAAAACGTATTACGGTAAAACGTTTTCAGTCAAAAAACGTATTTCGACAATACGGTTTCTTAGTAAAATTAATTTAACTAATTTAGAAAATTATTTATATTTTCGAAAAATAAATGTTTTAAAATAAAAGACGTATTCAAAAAATACGTTTTTATATGAAGGTATCTTCATAATACGTTTTTCGTATGATTTTGACCCAAATTGATTTTGCCCTAATTTTTGACCCAAATTGATTTTGACCTAATTTTTGCCCCAACTTAAAACGTATTTTCGAAATACGTTTTTCTAAAAAAAAATAATTATTTTAAAATTATGTTTTATTGTGCCAAATTTATTCCTGTTCAGAGTAAATAATAATAATACACTTGTTAATCGATATCTATTCAACAACATTCCACAAGCTCATATCAATCCATTATTGAAACAAATAAAAACAACCGTAATAATATATTCAAAAATATATAAATAACCAAATATCATTCAACATAATCCACCAAAAAAAAAAAGTTCACAAAAATCCCATAATACAAACTAACTAGGAAGGAGTGTACGTATCCGGTGGTCTACGCTGCCGGGACCCTTCCTAGGAGGTCTATGTCCTGAAGAAGACGAGGCTATGTTCGTGATAGGTGTAGCAGCTTCTTCTTGACCTGATTAAATATTTAAAAAAAATATAAAAATTGACTTGACAAAACAAAAACAAAAAAAGGAAATAAAAAAAAAACATTTTTTTGTTAAGTTAAAAATTATTACCTTCTTCGTCTTCCTCATACTCGGCGGCGTCAGCGGGTTCGCGGCACGACATCTTCTACCTCCACCAATGTTCAGACCTGGTCGATGCCTCGCCCGATGTGACTGTGTGACCTGTGGAGGGACGTACTCTTCTTGAGATAGAAGTTGACTAGACGTCCCCCCTTGTCTGACCTCTTACCCTCCAACAGTCATAGAACTGTAGAGGACGTTTTGGGCCTTGTGCCATGCAGTCTGCACCTCTGGATGGGATGTATCCAATAAGTGTTCAACACCATGTAAGATGTTATAAGCCTCCTCCATGGCACCATACTGGAAATAAAATTCAAACCAATTAATATGAAACACCAAAATAAAAGAAATAATAATAATAATAATAATAATAATAATTATAGAATTCACAATTTAGGAACTTACGTCACATTTTGTCGCTCGGTAATTGGCTGATAGCCGTCGTCTTGCTGGACCACCGGATAGATGTTAGGGTCACTGATCAGTCTCACCGTCCTACGGAGATACCAATCCATGTAACCCTCCTCAGGCTCTAGGAAATGATCCACGGGTTGATGTGGGAGGACATGTTGGTCTCTCTGTTCGGCCCAAGTCTTCCCGAGCTCCGAATGAAACTCGGCCCAATCAGTATATACCCTCCCAGTCATTCCCTGGCCTCCGTGGCGTGCATTCCATTCGGCCTCATTCTTAATCAGCGGAGTTGGGGGGATGGACTGGTAACACCCAAACTGACGGAGGACTCTATCAGTCTCGAGGACCTCAGCGACGTCCCAGCATAAGATCCACCCCTTGTACTTCCAAATATGTGGATCTTCTAGATACTGTGCCGGGAGAGAAGAAGAATCCGCGATGAACTCTGTATAGGGCATCCAATCAAACTGAAAAAAAAAAATTGAATTAAGAATTAAGTTATAAAAAATCTAAGAACAATAATAAAAAAAGATGGGATGAATTTGCAAAACGTAAGAATCTTACATCCCCCTCTCTCAGCCCTGTCAGTTGATCCCAGATAGCGGCCGTTCCCTTGGCTTTCTTCGTCGACAAGCGCATACGCGATTGGCAATAGCCGCTTATTCTCAATAGCCGCTTATTCGCAGTGTGTGACAAATTTGACTTAAATTGTATTAAATTGACTTCAATTGTATTAATTTGTCTTCAATTGTATTAATTCGACTTCAATTGTATTAATTTGACTTCAATTGTATTAATTTGACTTCAATTGTACTAATTCGACTTCAATTGTATTAATTCGACTTCAATTGTATTAATTTGACTTCAATTGCATTAATTTGGCTTCAATTGTATTAATTTAACTTCAATTGTACAAATTTGACTTCAATTGTATTAATTTGACTTCAATTGTACTAATTCGACTTTAATTGTATTAATCCGACTTCAATTGTATTAATTCGACTTCAATTGTATTAATTTGACTTCAACTGTATTAATTCGACTTCAATTGTATTAATTCGACTTCAATTATATTAATTCGACTTCAATTGTATTAATTCGACTTCAATTGTATTAATTTGACTTCAATTGTACTAATTCGACTTCAATTGTATTAATTTGACTTCAATTGTATTAATTTGACTTCAATTGTACTAATTCGACTTCAATTGTACAAATTTGACTTCAATTGATTAATTTGACTTCAATTGTACTAATTCAACTTCAATTGTACAAATTTGACTTCAATTGTATTAATTTGACTTCAATTGTACTAATTCGACTTCAATTGTATTAATTTGACTTCAATTGTATTAATTCGACTTCAATTGTATTAATTTGACTTCAATTGTATTAATTCGACTTCAATTGTATTAATTTGACTTCAATTGTATTAATTTGACTTCAATTGTATTAATTTGACTTCAATTGTACTAATTCGATTTCAATTGTATTAATTCGACTTCAATTGTATTAATTTGTCTTCAATTGTATTAATTTGACTTCAATTGTATTAATTTGACTTCAATTGTACTAATTCGACTTCAATTGTACAAATTTGACTTCAATTGTATTAATTTGACTTCAATTGTACTAATTCGACTTCAATTGTATTAATTCGACTTCAATTGTATTAATTCGACTTCAATTGTATTAATTTGACTTCAATTGTACTAATTCGACTTCAATTGTATTAATTCGACTTCAATTGTATTAATTTGACTTTTATTGTATTAATTTGACTTCAATTGTACTAATTTGACTTAAAACTACTGTACATCAAAACTCAGTAACAGAATCTACTTAATAATCAACAACATTAAATGGAAAATCAGCTTTGTTCCGTTTCACTTTTTCCAGGCCAAATTCAAAAACAGCGATAGCCTAGAGCAGCCTAATGGTACGAGGTGCGCCCTAAAAAAAACTCCCAGACTCACACGACCACTCACACGACATAATCACACGGGTCGTGTGAAGTCACACGACCCGTGTCACATTACACATGACCCGTGTGAAAAAGTCGTAGCTGAAATTTCATTCTCTTGTAGCCACACGACTCGTGTCACCTACTCACACGAGTCGTGTGACCCATCTGCAGCTCGATTTTGTCATTTTTCGTCCTTTAACACTTTTCTATGCATATTCCAAACAACCAACTAAACCAAAATGAACAATCCAACCAAAATGAACAATCCAACAAAGTTCAAATAAATCATACAAACAAAACAAAATAAATAATCCAACCAAATCCAAATGAACAATCCAAACAAATCCAAATAAACAATAAAAAATCTAATCTCCCCACACATAACGAAGTCTAGACCTATCGCTGCGAGGATGTGAGGACGCACACTCATCCACAACATGCTCTGGATCACCGCATCTAGTACAATGTCTCCTCTCATTTCTGCGTCGTGCCCGACGATCCATTTGCATGCGGTAGCGTCTCATTTGCTTGCGACCGGGTCCAGGCTTCAAGATGATCCTCTCCCAGTGTGCAATCAAGTTCCATCCCACCGGCTGCCATGTATCAGGATTACCAATCGGAGTAAAACTCCAATTAGTAAATTGAGCTACCCAGGTCGACGTCCAGAAGTGATCATCGTACAGCAGCTTTGAGTCACCCGCAATTCTACGACAGACGGCTATTGCATGAGAACACAGTTTTCTATGTGTCTGCCACTTCCGACAAGTACAACATTTTCCGGGATAATCAACTTTATACCTGTATTTCAACATTGATTTATATAATACAAAAAAAAAAAAAAATGAATGAACAAGAAAAATAAAAAAAACATATACTTACTTGTTTTGCCCTCTTCCACTAACGCGTAGACCGGTTGTCACCGCGTACATCG